GAAAAATGTTTTCTTTCTTATTTATTGCTTAGTAGAGATCTATAATAGCGTGATTTTTTCCTTTCCATAATGAACTTTTTTCAGTCTCAGTTTATCTAAGTACTTATTCTCAACCTCTTAAAAAGGTATGCAATATATTAATTGCAGAGCTCTCCTCTTCCCACAGATTATTTCCATTCAAAATAATAGGAATACAATAAGCCTTACTGGATTTACTCAGGATTTGAAAAGCCTGGTCAATCCACAGTGGAGGATCAGGCCTTATCTCCTCTAAACCCCAGACCACCAGCAGGGACTCAGCATCCTCTAAACAATTTCTAATACTTCATATCTGAATACTATTAATACTGTATTTTATTTTTCTAGCCTTCCTGTAAAAGATGGCAATGTAGTCAATATGTTCTTAGTATCTGTCTGCTCAGTTTTAAATAAGGTTACGGTTTGAGTGTTTTTACTACATGCTTCACAAGAGCGTTCTCATTGAGTAAGTTGTTAGACAAAAGTAGGATTTTGTTTTCTTGTTTAAATATTCAAAATGTTGTTTCCTTCTACCTTTAAAACGATTCGTAGTGATTATCTTTAATGCCTGAGACAGATATTTCCCAAGAAGAAACCTGATCTCTGGGCTTTATCTGTATTCAGTCTACCCTTTTGTTCTTCCCCTTTTATCTTTGTGTATCCTCTAATGTCTTTGCAGTTATACAAGCCAAACCAAAAACACTTATAAATTCTTCATGATCATTATGTCATGGGCAATTTTAAAATCTTCTGCTAAGGAGTAACACTTCATCTGTCTTTCAGGTTTCCCCAATCCATATCAGAATTTGTATGAAGTCAGAGGCAGGCTGTGTAGCATTCAGTGTTTATCCTTACAAACGCTACTTATTAGTGAATTAAGCGTGGGAGAGGCTAGCTGACACAAAACAGCTCATGTCCGTGCTCTTAGCCATAAAGCAGGGGTGCTGTGTCCGAGTTTACCTCCAGGAAAGGTCCCTGAGCAGTGCTCTTGAACAGTGCCTTTAAATTGTTTGAGAGAAAGCTAATTGGCTTGGAAAATTTGTATCAGGCCCTTCTCTAACGATTTAATAGTACAGCACTTCATTTCCATGCATGGGAATGCTCCCAGCACTGTTTATTTTACTAGTATAGATGTGTAGCTTTTACATGTTTAGACAGCTAAATCAATATGCTACCTCTTTATCATCATCTCTAAATTTGTACATGCTACGTTCTCAGAATACGCCGGGATACTTAACAAGCCCTGTAGCAGCATATTGCTGCTTCTTGATCAAAAGATCTTTAAAATAGTCATTGTTGTTTTAGTTTGTCTGGATGTGTTTGTGTTTAAAACGTACAGATATTTTCAAGTTGAATGTTTTTATGCAGGCCAGATCGCATTCTTTCTTATGAACTATTTTCTGGTAAGATCTTGAGGTAAACGAAGGAACGGGCTCCCCAGACAGCTTTTTTCTCTTCACGTGGAACTTAAAGTATTTATCTTCCTATTGTGCAGTATCCCAGCAGGATCTTAATCAGATTTTTTATTCTGTTCTTACTTCTTTTGATGAATATTTGATCCATCTGGAATAACATTCAAGAATTAATTAATTTCCATATTTTTGTTTGATTAACCACATAAATATGGACATGTAAGCTAGTACGTTTGCTTTGATTATGTGGTCTAAGTGTGAGAAATTGTAAATGGATTTAATTGCATGAAATCATAAGATGAAGGCAGAAAAGCACAACTCTTACAATTGCTGAATACGTGCAGAATCTAACAACAAAGTTACAGAAAAAGTGGTATAGCAATGTGTTTTGTAGACACTTATTGATTCATTAAATTAACCCCCACACACAAACCTGTAAGCATTTGAAACCAGTAAATTCTATTTTTGTTCTATTTAGCATCTGCTGAACAGGCTGGAAGAAGTAGCATGGAAATATTTATTCTGGTGGCTGGAGAATCTAGAAAGCTTTTTTTTTGTAGACTGCTGTTTCCATGAGACTTAAATCTACAATTAACTGTTCCCGTGAGCAGTATCCTTCAATGACTTGGCTTCCTACTGAAGGCTCATCAGCCCCTCTTGTCAAGGCAGTGCCAGGATATAGCAAGGAGTGTAAAGAGGAAAAGGAGAGGAGAAAAAGGAACAGGGAGGAAGGTCGGTTTTCCAGTACTGAAGATACTCCTTTGGCCATGTGTGAACTTGGAAGCCTTGTTCTAGAAACAGAGCATTTGAATAATGCACATAAGCAACATTTATGTTGGCATGGTTATAAGCACAGAAGAGTTCGCATTGGATAACGGAATACGCAAGTATGAAAAATGGTAACTTCAGTGTTTTAAGTCATTGAGTAAGTATTTGTCTGAAAAGCGTGTAATACTCCTAAGTATTAGAAACATGTGCAAGGAAAGTCTCTGCAGTTGAAAAGAAGTAAGGAAGCTAAACGTTCCAATTTGGCGAAGTGCTTTGAGTAAGTGCATAATTGTAAGTATGTGACATGAGTACATTCATATAGGGTGATGTTTTGCTAGATTACACCTTTACAGAGAAATTTATTCTGGACAGTGAAGACAATATGAGGAATGATTACCTCCTGTAATATTGTAGATACCAGTGTTATGTATAACTCAACTGGAAATTCTTCATAGGATAAACTCTTTCTAGGGCATTATTTCTGTGTAAATAACTTTTCTGCAATGGCTAGCAAGCTGAAAATTAAGACATTTCCTTCTGACATAGTAGGGAAGAAAACATAGCAAGACTTTTTTTTTAGACATTTAATGAAAAGTGCACAAGAGAATGGGTTCCTAGCTTTGTTGTGCAAATACTGACTCTCTCTGTTTACATAACGAAATGATGTACTTGGTAATGAAACTATGAGCTAAAGACAACAGGGAAATCTCTTCCCTAATTGTGGATAGTTTGCATCCTAAATTTTGTGAAAAAGTTCAGACTGATTTACCGTAGAAACTTCCTCTTCAGTAAGAACAACTCTTCAGACAAGGCACTGACAGAATGTCATAAGCAAGAGTTGGATTGCTGTTAGACGCATCGTTTCTTTTCCTCCTTCTGCACTGGGGGAAAAAAAGCAAAAATATTTTCCTGTGATTTGAATTTCATAATAGCTAAATGATAGACATGAGTAGCAGTTGGCAAATAGATTTAGACCTTGTTTACGCATCGTATAATTTTCTTCACTTAGTTAATTAAATGTTTGTTACTTGTATAGATGTATAAAGTCAGTAGGTCCTCCAGTCAACATTATAACTACTTACGTTCACAGTACTGAAAGTTATGTGAGTTTGTACACAGTCTGCTTTAGAAGAGTTTATGCTTTTATAAGAGTCTGCTGTTAGAAGTGGTTATGGCCATAGTTGCTTGTCTCTAGAAATACTTCTGGAACACTTGGGTGTTTCTATGTGGCGGTCAAAGTCCGTAGTACTGTTAGTTACATGCGCTTTTGCTATTTTTTGATCTTGTAAGCAATTCAAAATATGTATAAGATTTTTAACTTTAGTTTTAAAATAACTGGTTTCTTGTGGAAGATGAACATTCATCAAAATATGAGCCACTCTTTTTGATGGAAGCCACCAGCTTTCAAACTTCCTGTAAGTTACTGTGTTGTGTAGGAATGATTATTGCTGTTCTGATTCTTTTTGAGTAATATATCTCGTGTACATAATATATGTGCATAAATATTCTTTTATGTGCATATTTATATAAGAATATTTCCTCTTTAAGTACACCTGTCGGATAAATCTGCTAGTTGCAGTTACAAAATGCTATCCCATATTAGAATGTGATTGGGAAAGGAATCATGTAAATAGGTCACTTTTATTTTTGTGTTTCCTTTATTATTTTTAAGCTGTAGTGAGTTGCAGGTGTTGGTATTAGTGTAGCACGGTGTATCTCTGGGCTGCAGGCACACCCTCACGCAGCCACCAGCTCTGCCCTGACTACAGCAATACTGAAAACTTGTGGAGACTTTCATAACGTGCTGGCATTCGGGATCTTGGGCCGTGCTGTGTACAAGTGCCGGTCTGTGGGTGCCTGAAATGGGATGACTGGTGTGGGTGACGTTGTTATCATGACCTGCTCTGTGCAGTCACACGGTGTTTAGTTTTAATGTCCTGGTTCCTTCCAGGTGGTACAATTTGTATGAGCACGTCTTTGCTGTTCGGAGGCAGGCACTGTCAGGAAATCTCAGTAGTACTGCAGACTGATTGTTTTTCAAAACAGAGAAAATCTGGGGAGGTTCTAGAATTTGCAAGCATGTTACGGATATAGAAAAAAAATAAATCTTGAAGATTCTGATACGTTGCTTGAAGAGCTAAACTCAGGCTACTGTCACAGTAGACAGGCTTGATGAGCTGTCAGCCTAGGTGGCAGCAGAACGACGACAAAATTAGTAAGATGAGTACATCGTTGTTGGAAAGTTAATTCCCAGATGTAGTCTGGAGAATTAATGCTACTAATAATGGCGCAGCTCAGATATTGCTGGATGTGGAGCCTATCGGGTGTGATGAAACAGCCGCTGGAGCGGTGAGAGGTGGTGCTGGTGGAGAGGTTAGTCCTGGAAGAGAGCTGGGGACTGCAGCTGTGGCTCACAAGCTGACTCAGTTTAATTTAAATTTAAAAATAAATGAAAGCAAACCTGGAAGTGAGGGATCTTCATTTCAAAAAAGCAAGCGTTGAGACATTTCGCTGTTGGTTACAGCGCAGCAGACCAGAATGCAGTTGCCTAACTGTGAAAACTTTGTCCACCAGGCCATTGCTGTTGCTGTGCAGAGACTTGCCCATGCAGTCCTTCTGCCAGGTCAGACCACAGGGGTGTAAGGGTTTGTGGAGAGGTAGAGAAAAGTTAAAGGAATGTAGAAGTAGCAGGAGGCCTGATTTTTGCCTTCTGCTGCTATTTTGGCTAACGTGTGCTCCTGGTGAATGAAGCTCTTGCCTTCTCTTTTAGTACTTCCTTCCTCCTCCTCCCCCTTCTTTAACAACAGAGTTAGTTCCTCATAACTCGAGAAAGTCAAAATATCTGTCATCTTCTCCAGCTCTCAGTTCTGTAGGGCATTTGTCCACAGTCTGTTGGAGTTCCTGGTTGTGTGGTTGCTTCAGAGGCTGCTTTTCACTTCTGTTTTGTTCCCTCCCTGCCACAGCTGCCCAAGTCTGTTGCATTTGCACTCCAGCACGCACACTTCAGTTGGCTGGCATATGTCTTTTATTATTTTCCTTCTCAATCAGGGCATTATTAATATTAAAGCATAATGTAATAACATAATATCTTCATTTCTTTCCTCTTGGTGTTCTCATGGATATTAAGAACATATTTTCAGTGACTTAAGTGATTTTTTTTAACTTCAAAACATTGCATACTGTCTTGTTGTAATGTCTAATAAAGTGAAACTTTTCAAAATTGCTGAGGAATTCCTCCCCTCTTTCTGTAACAATAGATAAAGGTTTTGCTGTAGCAGATCCCAAAGTTCATAAAGAAGGCTTGTATACAGTTTTCTCTTTCTGCAAGGGCTTCTTGATAGGATTTCTTAACCAAATTTCAAGCAAACCACAAAGTGGACCATCTGTCATGGAATCTTGCATAACCTGCATTACAAAACGTTAACACACTTAAAGATTGCATGCACTGCAATTTGTCTGCACATGGATCTGTTAGAAAGCCTGAGACTCTGTTTCATCTGAATGGGGCCTTCTGAATTTACTCACAGTTTGCTGAGGTGTGAACAGGGGGTGCCAGGGTGGAGACTGGAGCTGTGGGGTCCCTGGAGTGAGGTGGGCGGTCAGCTGGAGCTGTGTGGGCACAGAGCGGGCAAGGGGCTGGCCCAGGCCGGAGGGCAGTGCTCTGCCACCAGGCCAGGTGTTAAAAACACACAGCTGATGGTGTTTCCTATTCATCCGGCATCCTATTCATCTTGATTTGTCAGCCAGTCTAATTAGGTAGTCCTAATAGTGCAGATATCAAAGAGTGCCACTGAGTGCTGCTACAGGTGGGATGTTTCACCGGGTGCCGCCGTGTGTGCTCGGTGCTCGGTGCCTGAGTTACTGAGGCAACAACGTGAAGATGGAAAACACACGAGCATTATTTTGAAGGATTCAGCTGCGAGCATCAGTTCTGACAATAATTGGATGTAACTTGAACTGGAATTCACAGTACCCTTGGAGTCAGGGGAGGAAGCCCTGAAGAGATCGCTGATGGCCCAGGCGGGTAGGGACGGATGGAGTCGCACACAGCCGCATGAGGCAGCTGCGCGGCGTTTGTTAAAAGGTTGAGCGGAGCCTTGAAGCCTGCTGTCAGCTCAGGCATTTCCAGGAAGTAGTTTGCTTAACTCTCGAGGCGGGGGCTCTGCTAAAGAACCTCCATGGGATGAGTAAACGAGTTAGATGTTACTTCAGGCGGCTGCAGCAGCAGACTCGTTAAGGCCTAAGCAGAAGTTTCCATCCGGAGCATGGCACCAGCCTTCACCGTGTGCGCTAGCGCCAGGAGAACTGGGCGTGAGCCCTCTGGCCCCACTGTAATGGTTGATGCCATCTTTACTGTTTTGCCACATGTTACCTGGCAAATTTACTGGCAGGGAGTAATAATAGGGAGTTGAAATACCCAAGGAAGTATGTAGCAGACTCTGAATTTAGACTACTGTGGTCTCCAAGTGAAAGAAGTCTAGATGCTTTTTTATTCATATTCTCCAATTTTGCAAGAAGCAAAAGGCACCAGAAGCCATAGCTTGAGAGCTGGTGGCATATTCTAAGCCCTTTCATGACCACTGCCAATAGTAGATCCTGAGTGCCACCAGATGCATGCAGTGACTTCCTTTTATTAGTATTTTTTCCAAACACTTGAAAACAAGCCTGAAGCTAACTTGATTGAATGAAAATCTATGGTTGTTATTTAAGGAAGTATTTTAATGTATAAAAATATTGGCCATCTTCTGAGAATTTATTTTCTCTTGGACCTGAATGAAACCAAATGGCTTATTGAAGTTCTGTTGCAGTAACAGAATGTCTAATAGGTGAATCTGATTTTTTCCAAAAAGTATTATCTTTTTATTTACAACTCAAAAGATCCTTAAAGGAACCAAGTTTACAGAAAGCATTCAAATGACTTGTCCTTTAAAAGTGGCCAGCCTTCTCGTCTTGGCTGCCTGTGCATTTTCACGTATTTGTCCTTTCATCCAGTAGTTCTAGCTATCTACCAGGCGTTTAATAAAAAAGTTAGGCCTCTCAGAACAGAGGCATTATTTGAGCTGAAAGGAGGAGGTACGGGCTGTAAATGGCCATTGTGTTTCAGTTTCTTGAATCGTTTGGATCATGTGTGTGCTGGGCTAGTGTCCATTTAGGATGTCATGCTAACAGTACGGAGCGCCTTTTGGTGTGAGCACAGAACCTGGTTTCCGTCATTGCCCCATGATCACCAAGGCTTCAACGTGCTACTTAGTTTTTGTCCCAGATGCCATTGAAACTTTTACATCCTGTATACATTGCTTGTTTCATTAGTAGTTTCCTTCTTGTCCTTCATTTAGTTAGTTGCTTTAGTCCTTTTTGTACGTATTAGCTGCATCTTTCTCTTTCAGAGCCCGGTCAGTCAGTTGGTGCTGAAATTAAAAGAGGAGAAGATTGAAAGATTGAGACCTGTGTTGTTGATATGAACTACCTGTGACTTTGCTAAATTAAGGAAGCATTCTGAATCTCTTAAAAAAGCAAAAACCAAAAAAAAAATCTTCTGAGATCAGAGTATGCATGTCAGGTCTATAGATACAGGGTCTCAGTTGTTTTGAAACATGAGATTAGCTTTTTGTAACTACTTGATGATAATTTATGAGCTTTTGCACATCCGTTTTTCAGTAATAAAAAAGCTCCATTTATTATACTTAAATTTCTTATGTCTTTAAAGCAAGACCTGTCTTTATGATAACTGTTCTGCTGCTTGTACGGTCGCTGTGTGCCAGACTGGTAAGATTAGAATTTAAGACTAGTAAAGCTCATTTATAAGCTAATTTACAAAGCTGCTTCTCTTCACTAAAATTCCAGGTCATTCTTTCTCTCTGCAGTAAACCAACGGAGGGTTTGGAGGATTGAGGTCTGTACGTTTGTCTGTGAACAGTCTGTACTTACGTAGCATTAAGGAATCATTCTAAGTCAGTCTATTATGGTCTGGTTATTGTAGCTGAAATTCAGTAATAGGGTTGTTAAACTCCATGGATTCAGAAACAGCAAAATGTCCCCCAGTAAACTAGCAGTGCTTTAAAAGGGATAAATGTATGGGGTAGGTGTAGGGGAAGTCTTTCTGTTTGAGATAGGGAAGACAAAAACCACAACATTTTAGCCTTTGGGACTTTATTTTTCTCAGCAGGTTAGGAAATTAGTTTGGGGTGAGATAGCAAAGAGGGAGAGCTCTTTGAAGAGGTGGAACTTCAGTAAATCAAATGACAACTAGAGGAGCTGAGAATATAAGGGGGTGAAGCTGGTACATGCTTTGGCATAGGGAAAATGTTAGGTCATCACTTTATGTTGATTCCAATCCAGTTTTCCTATGAAATATTTATTGAGCAAGACATTTGTGATAACTTTGTAAGAGTTGTCAACACCAGAAAAAAAAAAAAAAAAAAAAAAAAAGATCAGTTTAGTTTGCAAAGGTCTTCTAATTTATATTCACCCCTAGGATTTTTCTAGCCCCCCAGATTTCTTAGTCAAATAGAGTGGGAAGCAATGTAATCATGTGCTTTCAGAGGGAAGAAGGGGACTTGATTTTTAAGGTTTCAAACTGCCTGTGCCTGAAACAGAACTGTTTTAGCACATTTTAATAAAGTAGGTATTAGCAGAGGAGCACATCTAGGATATTCATGGTGGTTAGCTCTTCTGGGACATGGATTTAATAAAAGTATAAGGTTCAGTATTTGTGTTTTAGAATGGTGGTAGATTCCCTGTAGTTTTGTACTCTATGTGTTTACTGTGTAGGGATTTTTACTTATTCTTATGAAATCTGACATTCAGTAATGAAAGTGTTTTATACAAAGCTCAAGCTTTGACCCAGGCCAATGTTTGAGGAAATTAGATCCAGCCACAGCACTTCCAAAGTCATACTAGACAAGCGAAGGCAGTCTAGCTTCTACCATCGTTGAAATGGCACATGCACAGTGTCTTCTTGCCATCTCCAGCCATGTACACCTGCTAGTGCCCCTGCATCAGCTCTAGTGTTCATTTGACCCCTATCAGTTCAATAAATCAGTGGAAAACCAACCTACAATCCTCTTTGTTCAATATTAGTCCCTCAATTGCAATACAAACTCCATCAGTCAGTGATGATGACACTCAGAGATTTACTGGGCTGTTTGGAAGAGCCTCCACACAAATGCTGATAGGAGACCAAACACTAGGCTTCCGCAGTGACCAGCATTCAACTGGAAGTATTTTAATTGTTCCCAAGTTTCATTTTGAACCACAGTAAATTGAAAATATTGTGATCTTAAGAGGTTTTAGACGTGCACATAGTTCAGGATGCTGCACAACTGTGTTATCTCTCCTGATTTTAGAAGCCACTGTTAAGTTTATCTTAAAATACAAACAACTGATGTATACACGTGGGGATTTAGCCTGTCAGAATACCTAAGCCACAGGCATTTTTTCAGTTCACAGTTGTTGAAATACGTTCTGGGTTCAGAATGATCAGAAAAGGGAAGAGATGCTGGTCAGTACATAATACAAAAATTATATCAAAAGCTTTTTTTCCTCCTAAGATATTAAATATTTCTGGCACATACAAATGGGAAGATAAATGTCGTGAATTATTTCCTGATTATGTAGTGTTTTGAGTATGATTTAATTGACTGGATGTTGTCAGTTTTTCCACAGGGTGAAAGTTTGTAACTGTATGCAACTTCGTGATCTTGAAATGCTTTCAGGAGGGGTGTTGCATCTAATACGTCTGTGTAGATTTAAGGCTACCCTGGGCCCTTTAAGTTGCCTTACTTTATATGTTGGCATGTACTAAGTTCTGAAAGTCATAGTTTGTAATGAAAAAAACCCACACCTACATTGATTAATTTATTACATTTATCAATTTACCAAGGTGATTAACTATTTGACTTTGATGTGTACATATAGCTTCTGTGCTTGTAGAACACTGGGATAATCTTCCACTGTGTACAGTATATCAACCTTTTTTTTTTTTTTCTGAAAAGGTTTAAAGGGATTTCCAATAGTCATTAGTTGCAGCTGTGGCTCAGAATTTCTGACCTTGAATTACTGCCTTCAGTGTATCTAAACTCTCTTACTCTTGTGTAATAGCTAGGATTTGATATATTGTTTTTCTCTAGGTCAGGAGGAAGGAAGGAAGTGTTTTTCTGGACTTGACCTCAATAAGTATATTGGTGAACTGTACAGAGTAACTTTTACAATGCTTTCAGTTGCAGACTTATCTGGGGAAGCTAACACAAAATATTTGAAAAAAATGGGCTTAGTCACAAGAGAGCTCAATGGGTTGTGATTTAGCTAGGAATTGCTGTTGAAAAATGTGAAGAAAATGGATATATAAATCCATAGTTCCACGTATCTACATTTTCTGTATGTCCTATTGTCAGTTTGACTCACGTTTTATGTTTTATGCCACTTTGACTACTGTTCCAGTAAATCTTTGTGTTAGTACAATTTGTTTCCTTCGGCAGTTCATCTTTCGAGGGATATGAAGGATTTAGTTATACTATGTATGTTAAAACCTGTGCTATTTTTTTATTTATTATTATTTTTTATTCCAGTTATCTAGAAAAGTATGAAAAAGTCCATCATTTTGGGGAGGAGGATGATGAGGTACAACCAGGCAATCCAAAGCCACAACTTCCCATTGGTGCAATTCCATCTTCCTATAACTACCAGCAACACAGTGTGTCAGGTAAATTTTTGAGGAAAAAAGTTTTGATTTTTTTCCATACATATATTGGAACAAGCCACAGTGTATAAATAAGTTCACAATAATATTAAAACCATCAAGTCTATAGGTCACTCAAATTGTGAATTTAATACTTCAGAAGCCTTTCCATTGTGAGCCAAAATAAAATTAACATGAGTATCCATAAGCTAGTGCACTTCTTTCCAAATGTTTATTTCTAATTAGCAGGGCTCAAAAGTTACTGTGCTTGAAGCAAGGTATCTTGAAAATTTATAGATTTTGTTTCCATCATATCAATCATTTCTCTGCAAAGCCAAATATCTGAGTTGAGCATATGATTAATTAAGCTTTAAAATCTGAGGAACAAAGCTCATGCATAAGAAGCCAGAATCAACCCCATTGTAATTTACAGACCAAAGTATCAATCTTGAAAAGAACCAATAAACACATCGGAATCTCGT